TAGTTGTTGATAATTTTTTACCAGTCAGGTATTGCAGTCCTACTCCCATCCCTCAACTTCTCCATGCAGAAAGTACCACATAGCTGCTGGTTCTGGGAGTCATACAGTAGGTGAATAAGCAGAAGGATCTGATCTGGGAGGGAGGTTCGGAAATGACCTCTGCCACCTTAACGCCTGAATACTTTCTTCCCCCTGTGCAATCTCGACCCAGCTCAACTGGGCACAGATCAATCCATTCAGCAGCGCTGCTGTGGGCCGCAGCGTGCCAAAGGCTGAGACGGGCCGCCAGCCGAAATGCTCTGTGGGATCTAATCAGACCCCGATCTGACATCACACGAGCATCACGCTGCATTCAGTCAGATGGGCATAGAGGTACAGTAGCAAGATGTAAAAAAGGACCAAGATTGAGTTCTTTAAGGAATGAAATAGAACAGTATACTTTTACAGTGATCAGAATAACAGTTTTGAAACAAATTACTAAAATCTGGCTTAACTCAGAAATATCAAAGACTAAGAGATACAATTGGACAAATGGACAAAATTGAAAAAATTTAAATCAAAATCTGAAATGATTATAGATGGAAACTGCTTTTAAGACGATAGATAGATAGATCGATAGTAAGTATTTAATAGTATCTATCCATCCAAAGACAAATCAAAGTATAAAATAAATGTAAAATTATTTACTGTATATTTGATCAAATAAATGTACCCTTGTTGATGTCTTATAATAAATAATAATTAATTAAATAAGTAAATAAAAAGAAATATAATAATAGACCTAATACCTAGAAAAAAGAACAGAACAGGCATTATTAAGAGATGACTTATGGGGCACAATATGAAAGCAGATGTGCAGAAATCAGTTGAGGGATGTGGCATTTAAAAGATCAGGACAAAAGCGAGAGTTTGGAGGATCCGATCATCCCTTTGGGAGAAGATAAGAAGCGGCCCGAAGGGTGTCTGTTACTGATAAACGCTCAGTGATATCCACACGGACACAGGGGGACCATTAGCAAAGCCATGGCCACATTTGTTGGCCCTGCTCCCTTTCTAAACGGCCAAGCTGGCAGAGTATTATATAGCACTTACTGAAACCCGGTGTTCCTTTCAGCTCCCACAAAACGCCTCGTAACCTCAGTGTATCTGAGGGTCGTAGGGGAACGCTTAGGAACATGAATTTGCCGTTATGCTCTCCTTCAGTCAGACTCTGCAGAGTGTTATTGATTTTCAAAATGAAAGGATGTGCCATCATGTTTGCCGTCATATCTTAAACCGAGTCATTTGTAGCTGTCAATTATGCCTGGCAGCACAGGCCAGTGATATCAAGGTTCTGGTGACTGTAATACGAGAAGGATGACGGACAAAACAGCTACATGCTTTCTGAACACCAGCTTGCAAGATTTTTTAATCAAAATAAAAAAGTAACCATCGCTGCTATGACATCTGATTCACGAGGAAACTCAATTAAAGTGTCAGATGAAATTTATTCTGCTCTCTGGCCTCCTTTGTCTTTGTGAGGCTGTACTCATTACCGGTGTGATTTAATTAACCGGCCAGTTAATTGAGGAAAAAAAACGGCATCGTTCACTCGTAATCTCCTTTCTGCTTTGCAGCTGCAGACAGATATCAGGACAGTCGTGGGTTATGCTGCTTAGTTTTGTGGAAAAATATCAGTATCTACCGACCAAATACTTGGACATTCTGCTGTCTTGAAAACGCAGTAACAAAACTGTCTCTGTGATCTGAAATGGTCTCCTGAGCATGTGATAAAAAGCAGTTAAAATGAAACTGAACTGATTAGCAAGACATTTGCAGCAACAAAAATCCAAAATGCATTCGCGGCAGTGATAAGTCAATCACTAGAGCTGCTAAAATTGCATAAGTTTCAAGATCTTAAAAGAGTTGTCTCTAAGCCACATATCACATATAAAACAGGATATACTGGAGGCCTATACTGGAGGCCTAAACCTCAACAGTTTTTCAAAGAACACATTGTGCATATACACTACCATTTAAAAGTTTGGGGTTAGTATGATAATACTTTTATTCGGTAAGGACACATTAAGCTAAACCTAATCAAAAGTAACATTTTTAATATTCATTGTTACAAAAAAAAAAAACTATTTCAAATAAAAGATATTCTTTTGAGTTTTCTACTCATCAAAAAATCCTGAAAAAACAAGTATCATGGTAAGCTGCACAACTGTTTTCAACATTGATCAAATCAGCATTTTAGAATGATTTCCGAAGGACCATGTGACTATGAGGACTGGAGTAATGATGCTGAAAATTCAGCTTTGCCATTACAGGAATAAATGACATTTTAACATACATTCAAAAAGAAAATAGTTATTTTAAATTGTAAAATTACTTTTTAAATTATATTCTCTCCACTACTGACAAACAAAGTATAAAATAAATAATATAAATATAAATATTGTATTAAGCATAAAATAAAATAAATAATTTATTAAAAAATAAAATAACTGACGACGAAGTGACGTGACATATGGCCAAGTATGGTTTCCCATACTAGGAATTAGTGCTCTGCGTTTAACCCATCCAAAGTGCACACACACAGCAGTGAACACACACACACACACACCGTGAACACACACCCGGAGCAGTGGGCAGCCATTTATGCTGCGGCGCCCGGGGAGCAGTTGGGGGTTCGGTGCCTTGCTCAAGGGCACCTCAGTCGTGGTATTGAAGGTGGGAGAGAGCACTGTACATTCACTCCCCCCACCTACAATCCCTGCCGGTACGAGACTTGAACCTGCAACCTTTAAGTTACGAGTCCGACTCTCTAACCATTAGGCCACGACTTCCCCCAATGAATACAATTAAATTGTATAATACAATTAAATTAATTAAAGTTAATACATATATACACATACGTCAATGGAGTTCCAATATGCAATACAATTATGCACTACATTTTTACATTTTGTGAAGAAAATAGCACTTGTGCATGCGAAACACATTGCCAGGGTGTTGCTATGTGGTTGCGCACTCAGCCAAGTCAGTTCCTTATAGCCAGGTTTCAAACAATATATTTTATGTACATTTTGGGATTTTGCATAAAACATGGACAGAAACACCAACATGCTAATAAAATGTAAAAAAAAAAATGTGCATGAAAAAAAAAATGTCTGTAGCACAAATGTCTGGGACAAGGCACTAATGTCAAAACTAAACTACGTTATTGCAGATTGTTCAGGCTAAACCTGTTCTCTTAAAATGTGTAACACTGACAGTTAAACTAGCAGCTTTACTATAAATACACCAGGGGAACAGATAGTGCCTTGCATCACATTATACCGCAGATCACAGATTTACTCATAACATTTCAAACCACTCACCTCATGGTTTGTCATTAAGATCTTCTCGACTGTTAACCGCCTCCTAGCTATCGCCACAAACCCCTCCATCCCTGTCTCAAAAGGTGGACATCTTAAAGTCTAGCCTTGTCTCTCTCCCTGTCATTACTCACAGCTGTCAGGGGCGCTCTGGAATTGGCATTGAGTAATGACAGGTCTAAAGCGAACGACCTGCCACAATATAATTGCTTTTGACGATTATGCATGGCCCTTTTACCTGTAATCACAGCAAAAAAGTTTTACATAAAAAAGTGAAAGGAGAGCGAGAAAAGGGGACAGAAAGAGAGTACAGGAGAAACTGTGATGAAAAAGTCATTGTTTTTGTAAATAAAACGCTCTATGATTACTGCCTGGCCCTGTTTTTACAGACAGCACTCTTCTATTGTAAAAATGTAATAAATAACATAATTTGCTCGACTGCTTTTTGTCAATTTCTCTTTCTGATGGCCCGCTTCACACTTGGCCTCTAGGGGGCAATACATCTACCTTCCCGTGGATCTTTCGCATCTTTTGTCGCATGCACAGGATGAGACAAAGAAGACATGCAGAATGAGAGTATTATGTGCATTTTTAAACACAGAAACTTCATGGTGTGAAGATCCAATAATATTTTCAGTAGGGGTCCCAGTATGGGGTCTGTGAAGTGTTGGTGGAAACAGCACTGATGTTTTTTTCACCCGTGGAGTTGGGCTGCAGATAAACCCTGTGGCTGATAAAATCAAGCCTTGTACCGCAGTATTCTTTCAATGTTAAACGGAGGTTGGTGCTCTAATGGCATCACGCTGAGCTGTACTCAATGGGTCTATGATGCCGTCACGACCTTACAACCGCTCTCATGTGTCATTGTTCTCTTGCATGCTTTCCCTCCGTTATGCCTGTGAAGGTCTTTAAGCAATTCAGCGGTTCTGGCGAGACGATAATTGGTGTAGGTCTCCATCTGTCCTACCTGTGCTGTGAGAGAAGTGCCCACACAATGACACACACTCACAAACACAGAAACACTATTTTTTCCTCTCGTTCTCTGCCACATCCATACACACTCTTCTCTCTATGCCACATTTATCCTTCCAAAAACACACACACACGCACTTGCTTTAGGTGTTTTGGCTCATTAACTCAGAGCTGCTGCGGCTGAAGGCTGCACATGCTCACAGCAGGTTCCATCCACCGGAGAGAAAGAGAGAGAAAAGTGTTGGCATACAATTGCCAATGCAGTTCACACTTCTCATTCCATCTGCTTAGGTCAGAATCACACAAAGAATTAAACACACAGCCAGATATTTGTCATGGCTACACTGTTTAAAATTTAAGATGAGCCTATGGAATAGATTGGGATACAGTCCTGGTGACAAAGCCAACCTAAGGTGGTAACTGGTCTCCCAGCCTGGCCGTGCTGGTCTATTTTGATGTTTCATTGGGGTTTAGGGCAACTGTCAAGCTAAGGGACCAGCTAGACTAGCTCACACGTACCTCAAACCACCATTAAACTATTGTATCAAAACAGACTATCCTAACCATCTCAGATAGGCTGGGAAATTCATAATAATGTTAGACTGAGGTAACCTATTTAAGGGGATAGTTTACCCAAAAATGAAAATTTGCTGTTAATTCACTCACCCTCAGGCCATGCAAGATTTAGGTGTTTTTTTCCTTTGATAAAACAGTAAAGAAAATATTTAGCTGAAAGCCTGGTACTTGGTGATTCAGGTGTAGCTAATCACCTTATCAATGGCACACAAAGCCATTTGACTTTCAACTGTGATCAGCTGTGGTCATTTTGATTAGCTCAGCATGAAAAGAGCTTTCCTGGAGCATTTCAGGCCTTGGTAGTGCAACGAAAGCAAACAATAATCTATGTGTGGCAAGACACTGTCAAAAGATCTCTGGGATAAAGTTGTGGACAGGCACAAGTCAGGAGATGGATACAAAAAAAATTCAAAGAGAAGTCTATTATTAAGAAGTGAAAGGTATTTGGTACAACACAGACACTCCCTGGATAAGGGAAACTGGATGAAAGAGCCGAGGAAACTGGTCAGAGAGGCGATCAAGAGACCTACAGGAACTCTGAAGCAGTTGCAGGAATTTATGACAAAGAGTGGTCACTGTGTGCATGTGACAACAATATCACAAATTCTCCAAAAATGTGGTGGAGGGTTGCAAGAAAAAAGCCAGTCCTCAAGAAAGGCCACATGCAGTCATGACTGAGCTTTGCCAAAACGCACCTTGAAGATTCTGAGGCAGATCAGACTAAAATGGAATTATTTGGCCTCAACACCAAACAATATGACTGGTGGAAATCGAATACAGCTCATCATCCAAATAACAGCATTCCTACAGTAAAGCATGGAGCTGGTGATATCCTGTTATGGGGTGATTCTCTGCAGCAGGGACTGGATGGGGCAAAATACTGTACCATCAAATTCTTGAGGAAAATCTGATGCCCTCTGCCAGAAAGTTGTCAATGAGAAGAAGGTTTACCTTCCAATTTTACAATGACCTAAAGCACACAGCAAAACTGACCACACAGTGGTTGGAGGAGAAAAAGGTGAATGTCCTTGCATGTCAGTCAGATCCCAGGCTTGAACATCACTGAAAATCTGTGGACTGACTTGAAGACTGCAGTCCACAAATGGTCATCATCAAATTTAACTGAACTTGAGCAGTTCTGCAAAGAAGAGTGGGCAAATATTGCAAGGTCTAGATGTGCAAATTTAGTAGAGACAAATCCCAACAGACTAAAGGCTGTAATTAATGCAAAAGGTGGTTTAACAAAATACTGACACAAGGGGGTGATCCTTTTTCAAAATTCAGTGATTCTGTTTTTTTTTTTCTTTTTCTGACATGTTGGTGTTATAATCTTTCACTTTGGCTGCACTTACACTGGCACAAAAAAATCTGATTTTTTTGCTCACATATCTGACACCGATCATTATTTGTTGCATATGTGTAAACACAAAAATCCGCACGAGATCTGATTTGAGATCAGTCACTTCCAAATGTGGTTTTAAATCATATCTGATATTTGGACAACCGATCTACGTTTAAACATACATATCCAATTCCCTGCAGAACTCCCATTGTGTGAAATATTTTGAAGTGAAATATTCACAGCTTAAATAAACAACTGTTAAATTTCAGGACCTAAAAATGCAAGCCCTGGAAATACAAGGCATTAAAATGCAAGCACTGTTAATTCAATGCATTATTATTTCAGTTAGTGCAATTCAACATGCATTTTTGTTTCAAAGACATTTGTCATTGATTTTCTTCCATATTTTCAACCCATGCCTGCCCGTGAATTTTATAAATATAACAGCTAAAAGCTACATTACATTTCTTAGCAATGAGGTGATAACTTCGCAGTTTTTGTAATTAAACCAACAAGCTTCACATGTTCGCAAGCTTCACACTCGCTTGCGCATTCATTCATTCTGTCTCTCTCTCTCGTTAATTCATTCGAATACATTTCAATAAATATAATCTTGGCGCTACTTTATTTCACTAAATAATTCTACCTCTAGCTAGCTGTAGATAAATTAGCCTAACAAATGAAATTTAGCGTTATTTTACATTATTTATCCGTTCAGTCAGATTTTGTGCTACAAAACATCCCTGACAGCCATTGTCCATGCTGGCTAACAATAATGGCCACTTGACGTGAATTATATAAATAATTTTAATAGCACGGCCATTCAAAACCTGAGGGTCTACCATGTGTATAGTAAAGCAATCACTGCAGGCAATCCTTTTGGGGTGGGAATTAATTTAAAGTGAATGTAAACAGGCGGGCCAAAAAAAATCGTATATGGTCAAAAGATCGGATCTATGCATTAAGACTTGCAGTGTAAATGCAGCCTTTGTTGTTGTCACGAATCCGGTCCATGAACTTTCCTTTTCATTGACTCTCGCACCACACAAACTGTTGCATAGCACCCCGGACTACATTTCCCATCATGCATTACTGATTGCACTCAGCACGAATTGCACACACCTGTTATAAGTTGTAAAGTTGTTTTCAGAGTAAATGTCTGAATAAAACAAAAACTGTGTCCGTCTTTATTTCAAGATGCAAAACTACAAAATGCCATTATTTTAAAGGTGGGTAATTATTTTCTATACCCACTGTAAAACACAATAAAAATTGTTCTGTAGCATACCAATTAGTAAAATAAAATATTGTTATGAACATATTAACTTACTAAAATAAAAAGTATTGTTTTAAGCATCGAATTAATAAAATGAAATGGATAGTTATAAGAATATCAAATTACTAAAATAAAATACAGTAAAATGTTCTAAGCTTATCAAATTAGTAAAACAAAACAAAACCACTTAAAACACTCTCCCAAGTGCCCCAAACCCCCATATCCCTTGGCACAGACCAACCTATTTTGGTCAGGCTTCAAAATGAGTTAATTGGGAAAGCATTTTTTTTGGCAGGGAGGTGATTTGTCAAGCCTGAACTACAGTATCTGTCTGTCACTCTATCTGTCGGACAGCGTTAAGCTGTGCTGATTTTTTTTACTGTAAGACTGTCCTGTTGCCCTTCTGTCCCTTTTTCAGTTTTGTCCCTTAAACCAGTGTTTCGAAGATTTGCCCCCTTCTATTATGATCACTGTGTGTCAGGCAAACCATGTGTCCAGCAACTGCCAGGCTTCTGCTGGAGTAAGCATGAACGTAACAACCAAAGAGGACGGATCATTCCTGCCACCGTTCCGAAAACAGCTCACATCCGACCCCCCCAGCCTTTATTATCCACTCCCATCTCCAAGCAGATCTGAGATCAGCTGAAAGGTTGGCGGCCATGATCTTTGGAGATCTCTCTCCAGCTCAGTGGACATGTCAGAGCTCCAGCAGGGTATAATGAGGGGCTGCTCACTTCTGCAGTGAGTTGGACGAGACGTAAGTTTCACACCCACTCCTTCACACATGCTTCTGCCTAATACTGTGTGTGCGCAGCCCTCATGAGCTTCCAAAGTTCATCTATAACAAGCATTCCTGTCTAGAGGCTGCTATATAATATATGTCCAGCACTACTACAGCTGATAAAAACTTCAGTGTCAAACAAAAAAAAGTCACAGTCCTCACCAAGCCAGAGATGCTGGTCAAACTGGTTAACGTGCTCACTAGCTTTGCCAAGATGGACGACTAGAGCAACCAGTTTGATCAAGCTGCTCTATGAGACTGTCTACAAGGTATATGCTTCATCTGAAGGTATTCCTTCTAATCAACCACCGAAACCATCTTGAAACCACTACTAAACAGTTTCAAAAAGCTAAAAATCCTTTGAAACTAAGCCATCAAAAGTAGATATAAAAAAAAACACAACACATCATTAAAAAAAACAGAACACAACACAAAATCAAACAGAAAACAACAAAGATACTGACCTGGAGCAAAGCAAAGCAAAATAACAAAAAAAAAACATGTTAAATCATCTTCCACCAAATCCCCATAAAACTATCAATACAGACCAGCTTAACCAACTTAGCCAGGCCATGAGACCAGTAGCTGTTTTTTGCAGGAAGGTTATTGGTTGAGAGTTAAATCTTCAAATCTAATGTACTTTGATCTATCAAATCTTGATTTAATGTTAAATTGAGTCCAATCAAAAGGTACATGATATTCTCTCCACTCCTGACAATATGAAATTCATTCATGCATTTGTTGTCATCCCAAAGAGCTTTACCAAACAATTACAAAGCATTCAGAATGCAGCTGCAAGAATGCTGACTCACACTAAACTGAGGAATCACATCCTGCAGTTAAATCCCCTCCCTGTGTACCTGCGTCTGACCTAACTGATTTCATTGTCCTCTTATTTTGAAAAGTCTCCATGGTGTTCCAACTGCAACTTGCTGGGCACTTAATTTTCAAAGCACACTTGTTTACTTGTGTTTTTCATATTTATGTAAAATGATAAAGACTTAGCTTACTTACTAATCTACCATAGGGAGAGCTACTTACAGTATATAGAATGGCAAACAACATAACACATACTTTAGCATGACCATTAGCATAAACGTTACCCCCCCCCCCCCCCC